GTCAATTTTAGTTGTGTGGAGGTCACATAAGGTGTAGCAATATCAATTGGAAATGTAATGTTAACAAAAAAAAATTGTCTATTAAATTTATCTATTTTTAAAGTAGCTTTAGAAATCATAAAATTATATAAATATTAAAAATAAATATATGACATTTGCTAAAAATATATACTTATATGAGAACAAACAATAAAATTATTGTATAACATGAAACTATCTTGTATAAAAATACATTTTGCCTGTTTTTATAAAAATAACTTACTTTTTAGATAGTTCTTTCAATTCTATTGTTCTTGTCGTGAATGATTGTTCTAAATGATGTTGCACCAAACAAATTTCTTTTTCTACATCAAATAGGTCGGAAAAACTCATAATTCGACTAGTAGAATTAAAAATTAGTAGAGTTAAATATAAATATAAATTTAAAAATATAAAATATAAATGTATCCCTGATTATTTCATGTTAAAGATGTTTTACAAAAAATTCCCATAAATCTAACATCACTGTATATGTATATATATATATATATATATATGTGTGTGTGTATATGTATGAACTATGTGTGTATATGTATATATATATATATATATATGACTGTCGAATGGTTTTCATAGTACATCAAACAGTAATCAGGTTTCGCTGAATAGTTCAAGCTTGATACAAATACACAACAAACTACAATGATAATGTTATTAATGAAAAGAGACAATCCAGCGTTCAGTTGTCGATACAGATGATCGACGACAGTCTTCTCGGCGGCGGATCGATAACATCTAGAATTGTATTCGATGGCGAAGCTAGAGTTGAGACAATCTGACATTAAAGGAGGAGCATTTTCAATGTGAGAAGAGAGAATAGTGGTTGCAAATATATTAGAATCCTGGACATGAAGATGGAGACGGGAGGGCCCAATACAAGCACCCGCTCGATCAGACGTTCAGAGCTCACAGAGTCGACGCAAACCCCACGCGGATGTGCGGAACCGCCATCTTTACCGGCATCTTTCGAATCGCTGGGTGTGGCGCAGATGAGAGAGTGCAAGTTCATGCGATGGAGGTCGGTTCAGCTACAGCGCTGCGGGCGATGTGGGTTTCCTAGAACCATTCGATCGCGGAGGAGATCGCTGTGGCTCTTGCCCTGTAGTTTCTCACCCACTCATTCTTACGCACACACACTCTCGCACTCGCGCACAGTGACGCACGCTGCGGGTGCTTTCTGGCCTTTTTGTCTCATTGTTCTTCGGTGGAGCTTGCATCCCAGAGCTTGTATATCTCGGTGCAGAATCTCGTCGGAATCCGTCAGGGGTGGGGACGGAAACATGGGGTGGTACAGGAAAGAAAAAAAGTATCTCAAGTGCGTGGCCGGCAATCCAGTGGCAAAGCTCCCAAGCAACAAAGCCCTGGAAATCAGCGATTGGGTCGTGTGTGTGGCCTGGTTTCCAGTGCGGGTTATTGAGTTGGCATTCTACTCCGCTCATTGACTTTCCCGAGAACGCGTCTTCTGTGGACTCCTCACACCGGTATGGATTCTGACCATGAACATCCGACGGTCAAGTCTCGCGCACTGTTCATGAGGGTGGATATCACACCCCTGCGTGTGGATGTGTTGGCGATGGTTGATGGGCAGATTCTCGCTCTTATTCAGTGTCAACCAGGATGAGAGACCTGGAAGGCGAAGATGGACCTGAGCACAGGAGCGGTGGCGATGGATCCACAGCGGCCGCGCATGAGCCACTGGTTGCGTTCTCCCTCCATTTGCGGCGTTTGTTGATATAGCAGCATCGACAAAACAAAAACTGATCCAGCGATGAAAACATTCTTCTACCGGATTGGGACACACGGCGGTCACCACACGGCTTTCCATCTGGTTAGAGCGCGGTTACCCCACTGTGGCGTCGACCGCGAGCAGGGCAGCGTCCACATCTTCCCTTCGTGTGGCTGTGCCTCACCGAGCCAGACCCACCGAACCTGGAAACCGAACCTCGTAATCGCGAGTGGGTTGGCCGAACCTCGCCAACGCAGGTGCGGCTATGCGCCTTCGACGTACCCATCAGCCTGCTGACATGGCCCATCTGCGAAGGATGAACGAATTCAGGTATTCATCCAAAGTGTTCGACATTCATCTATCATTAATATGTCGGGCTCTGTGGGAAATATCTCTACTTTTGCATGACATGGACTCCTTGGATTTTTAAAATGTTTTCTCTGTAAATAATTAGTTGGATGTTCCCAATTTTTCTTGTACTTTTTGGGGGCTTTGTCATTCCATTGGTTTGCCTGTTCCAAATTGTACATGGATGAAAAATCATGTGGTCTTGGTTTGTGAGCAAATTTTGCAAAGAACAAATAATGTTTGAAAGTTGTGACAGATGGGTTTTTAAGTTTTTCTTGCAAGGCAACTAATTTTTTTCTTCGAATGTTCATTCAGAAGTTCAAAATCTCATGTTTATTAAAGGGAAGAATTGAAATGGTTAAATGAATGTGCTCAACTTCTTTGCACTTTCATTATCTGTGAATATTCAGAAAAAAGTTTGTTTCTTGTGATTTAATTACTTTTAATGGATCATTCTGGTAAATACATCAAGTACTGAGTCGTTAGTCAGAATATATATTTGATAAATATCTTTTTAACGAAATGTATATAATTGTAATGAGTGTATTATATAAGTGTTATATATTGAAGCAGTAATGTGTATATTTGTCTATTAGCAACAAACATAAAAATAAAAAATAAAAATGTCCAACTTAGAAAGATTTGTTTACAAAGGTCCACTAGCCATTTGTTCTTTTTACCTTTTTTACACTAAATATGCTTAATAACTATTTTGCCACTGTGTATTTTACTCTATTGTTATTTGATTTCAAGTGCAAATAGATAGGCCAAGTAACAGTTTATAGTAAATATTTAAATATTCCTGCACTTTTCTACAATGCTACATTCTATTTTTTAATTTTAATTTTTTTATATATAAAAGTAACCACAGCTTTGTTATTTCCTACATCAGTCCTATCGTATGAAAGTATTATGACAATGCAATAATCAATCCCGAAAAGAGCAGAACTACATTTTATTCAGCTTTATATTACAATAATTGATACTTCTTACAAGTTAAGTAAGATAAATGCAGTTTATATATATATATTCATATATTCATATATAAACACATGTGTGTGTGCTTTTAACCATTTGTTTGTTCCTTTATCACTATTAATAACATTTTCAACATAATTATCATCATCATCATCATCATCTCAGAAGCTCCATGTACTAAGGCCACCAAGTGTCACAGAAAGATTAATTTCTCAAAAACCAATTTTAAAATTATTTTGAGAAATGGGCTTGTGGGTGGAAATCAACGATCACTTAATCACAAATATTATTATTATTTAATCGGACCCAATCACGAATGAAACGACACAGAAGATGCATAAAGTTCCCCATTAATGTTCCCTGTGCCCAAAGGGAGCGCACACACGCTCCCCCTTGTTCTCCAAGCGAGGCGACGTGCTGTTGGCGTGGCAGCATGACACATGGACAATCTGTGCCGGCACACTGACGGGTGCAAGAGCCACGTGAGCAGGCTCGCACGTGACTAGACCTCCAGGTGGCATCCACGTGGAAATGAAATCTCTTCTCGTAAGCCTGTTGCAGAAGGGCGGTAATGGATCCCACAGCGGTCTTGGAGGAAGGAATCCCTATCAATGGGGTCCGATGGATGGATTACATTCAGACCAACGGGATGTAGTCCATAATCGCGGTCACTTTCTCATCCATCACTTGTTCATCCATATCCTTTTCACTTAGTACACGAGGTTGTGTTGCGAATTTCTTTATTTCTTCATCTTAATATGTTGCCAATTAAAAGAATGTAATTAAATTATTATTCTTTATTCATTATTGATCCTCAATAGTCATACTACAATGGATCATGTTGCTATTTATTTTTTAACTTTTTAATCTTCACATATCTTTTATATTTTTGAAATAAACTTTGAATGATACTATTAGATAATATACTGATGTTGGACAGTATTAAAAAGTGAAAAAATGAGATGCAATTATCGTTCTATGTTTCTGCAAGTTATATTGAGATGACTCTTATCTGTTATTTTTATGATTTTATTTAGATAAAAAAGTGGTTTATGAAAATATGAATTATGATAGTGAACATTTATAGAAAGAATGGTATTTTATAAATATCAATGAAGGGTCTGAAACATGTCAAGTATCAAAGTTGATATGTATTTATATATTTACTTCTTTCCACATGCTCATTGGTTTTTGAGGATTGTTAATCACCTCAAATTTGAGCATCATCACAAACTAATTTGTAAAATTATTTCTGTATTTTTTTTAAAATAAATATTTTTGGCAAATTATTGGAGATTTTTGCTTGATCTGTGCTTCTTTTTTCTTTTTTCTTTTTTTCAAGGAAATGTGTGTTTACAGCAAAGATGTCTTTGTTGTAGAATGACACAAACTTATAATAGTCAACAAATGGAAGAAAGTGAATTTCCACTGATATAGTTCATCACTATACTTCACAAGAAGCTTGGAGCTGGAGCGCAATATTTTGTACTGCTCTCTCTCTCTCTGCAATGTGTAGCTTGTGGGTTGTTACACTATGGCTTTTGACCAGTTGCTTTGATAATAAAGACAGTATCCTGGGTTGTGGATAAATGGATAATTGTAGAGGAGTGTTGTTCTAAAGCTCCATCAGTAACAAAGCTAAGGCTGAGAAGATATGGCATTTTTCCATACAAAAGCAACCCAAGCCAACACAAAGACAAAGGGGCCAAATAGGGGATAATACAGCGTGGCAGAGATATTGCTAGGGAGTGACTGGCGGTGGATAAAATGGGGGCCGTGGGGGGTGAAACTCCAGCCAGAAGGGGATTACATTCCCTCCCAGCCCCCTCCAATACCTAAACCCGTGCCCACGGCCTTACGCCCCCTTTCGTGCGTCGCGAGTCGTTGAGGTGGGATCGAGACCAGGCGACGGCGGCGTTGCCGTCTCGCGTTGCGCGCTCATATTGCTCTCCAGCTCCCCTCGCGTCGCGCCTGTGCCCTCTACCGCGTCCCGCGTCCCGTTTCGTCTCGCGCTGGAGCTGTTGCTGCGAGTTCGCGCCGAAGGATTTTGCTCAGCGTGCGTGACAGTGCATGGAATTCTCTTCCCCGAACTGTCTGTCGACTCGTGCTCTTTACGACAGTAGTTGAGATTTCGAGCTCGGACCCGACCGCGACTGGTTTTTTGCCTGCTCGTCGTCGCTTCGCTCTTTGCATTGTAGGACGTGTGGCTGGTCTCTCCGCGACTGGTTGCGCCAGTTTGGTTTTGGGTAGAGGTTGGGTCGTTGTCTCATGATCACTGTTTGCGGTGGTTGAATAGTGTCGGAAGAGATGTAGTGCGGTGGAGTCGCGAGTTCTGGTTGTCAATCTGGTTGGGTTCGTTCCAGCTCTGGTCGGTTATTGCAGCGTCAGCTGCGGTCGGACATCTCTATCATCACTCGGTTGCTAGATACTCAGTTGAGCAGTCTGAGCTTGGCGGGCCTCGGCCTAGTGCATTTGAATTGGTCTGTTGCTGAAGTGTTTATCGACGATCATGAGGAAAAGAAATAGGTCGAATGAAGTAGTGGTCAATTTTTCGAATTCGTGGTTGTTATGAAGTGAAAGTGGTGCTGGGAGACGATAGCTGGATTTAATGTTTGTTGCTGATTTTGGTCAATTCGGAGCAATGGAGCTCTTGTTTGTAAGCTTGTTAGGAAGCGTTGATGGGACCGGGGTCACGATCATGTGGTGAAGTGAATATCGACATCGCTGAATCGATAAAGCGACTCAAAATCTGTTTGAATAGTTGGAAACGCTGAGAAGGCAAGGAAATATATTCCTGCGTATTCACTGAAGGTGCAGGTTGTAATCACGTCAGGGCACAGAGGATTCTGAAGACTCTCGGATCGGTCGTGTTACTGTCTTCAAGACAGCAGGTACTAGGAATTCAAAGAAATTGAGCATTTTTTTGCAAATAGATACCAAGCAATGGCGAGACCGAAGAGCACTGCTCACACCAACATGGCTACAGCTATGGCTATAGCAGGGAGAGCTTCTAGAGCCTGCGATGGCTGCGGCTCTCAGGGAGCACGATGGTACTGTGAGGCTGACAATGCGTATCTTTGTAGTAGATGCGACCGGAGCGTGCACTCGGCTAATGCTCTCGCCTCGCGCCACGAGCGTGTCCGTCTCAATCCCCACGGCACCGTTTCTCAAGTGCCGAAGAAAGCCCTCGTTGACACTTCAGGAGCCGACGGCAACGACGCTCACAAGCCTCACCATCCTCGGTCGACGCACACCCACTTTCTGCCGTCACGCAAGCGCTCTCGTCTTTGCCAACGTCCCAATCCTCACCTTCAACACGCGGCCGACATTTCCAACCCAGAACATCGCCGCGGTAAAATGAAAACCGAAAGCAGGAATCCGGGAGAATCCCACGAGGTGCCAAACTTCATCACCATCAATATTCAGGAGTCTCCTCTCTCCTTTGCCCATGACAGTGCCACGGGGATATCCATGGCAGAGTTTTGCAAGGGAAGGGCAACCGCAACTGCGGCCATGTACGTGGGCGTGGAGGACGCGTACGAGGAGCTCAGCAGTGGAGACTCCGGACCAGATTTTCTGGTGCCGAATGGCTACACGGAAGACTTTGATAGTGCCATTGGAGCACCCACCGAGTACCACCAGAATGCAGGGAGTCCCTTAGACTCTGGCAATGGAGACGAGGACTCGGACAACAGCCATGAGATGGCGTGTGTGGGAGATGGCTTGCAGCTTTGTGGGAGCGACGAGCGTTACGAAGGTTATCCCCTGGAATTCTCAGACATCGTGGGATTAGGAAATGGGGACGCTTTTGAGGAAGATTGTGAGAATACGTCTGGGTTTGTTGACGAATGCTGCGAGGTAAACGGAGGTGGACTTGGCAATGGCATGGAATGCAGCCTTCAAGCTAAAATGAGCCTTGAACAGCAGAAGGGATTCTCCTTTTCTAAAGATTTCTACTACGAAGTGAACCAAGAGTGTATAGTGCCGGATAGCTACGATCTCATCAGAAAAGAAGTAGCAGACGTGTTGCGGTGCTCCCTCGAGGGTGAGCCGATGAAACACACGCCTTCGCTGTTGCAGTTGAACTACGAAGATGTCTTATCGGCATGGTCCGACCGCTGCCTCTGGACTGACGGAAAATGTCCGCAGAAATTGCCAGATGATTCCTATTCGGAAATTGCGGTACGAAAATAGTTTTTTGAGTACATATACATATCTTCTCTCATCGTAACTATGTTTATTTGTTTTCGCACTGTGAAAATGTTTTCTACGCACACTATCGTCGACGAAGGATGCACACAGAAATGCTTGCCGATCTTCAACTTAACACCAGTGTTTTCCGCTTCATTTTTTCCAGGGTGACGTTGGTCTGGTCCCAGATCTTTCTAATGGATGCCAAGCAGTTCCAGGAGGAGGAGGTGATGGAGGAAGAGAAGCTCGTGTCATGCGTTACAAGGAAAAACGGCGGACTCGGCTTTTCTCCAAAAAGATCCGCTACGAAGTTCGCAAGTTGAATGCGGAGTGTCGGCCTCGCATGAAAGTGAGCTCGGTGCATCCTCCCCTTTTCCATTGAGCACTCATCAACAATGCAATGCCTCGCTTGCATGAATCAACATATGCTCAGAAACCCAATTGTGCATACAGTTTACAACATCCTAATGCTGCAATGTCACAGTCTTTTCGCAATGAGAATAATGTGAGCCAATGGAGTTTTAAATTGCCATCTCACTCTCTCATTGTTTGTCTCTGTTGAAGTGCCCAGCTATGTCGGCAACTGTATAATGTCTAGATGTCTGAAGGTGTTTCTCTGGTATTTGGTTGAAACAGGGCCGATTCGTGAAGAGGACACCTGGGTGCTCGTGATCAGAACCAAAGCTCATACATCGCAGCATGGTTCAATTACCGTGACGACCTACAGCGTTTGGCTTGGTGGACGGAAGAGCTCAAGCGGAACTTGCGATGGGAGCGCCGATGAGAGCTGGTTTTTGAGAGGGGACCATGCCAATCCTCACCTTGTTGATATTTTCTAAGATTTTTATCCATTCACCAGTATTTGATGATTTACTAGAAGCAATGGACCAACCTGTTTTAGAGAAAGAGGGACTTGGTCGATGCATTGTTGATCATGTATCTTGTTGTAACATAGTGAAGGTAGAGAGAGCGAGAGTAATATCGCTAATGCAGTGATCCATCAGGTAATTTAGCCGTGTACAAAAGAGCGAGAGGAGTTTTTTTTACGAGTAATGCGCAGTGATTTTTTTTCATGAGGCAGTGGAAATAATGTGTTGTTAGCTCACTAATAAGTAGTTTGAACGGTGCTTTACCATTCTGAGATCTGATATGTGTTTTTGATTGAAGAGTATCCGTAATTTCATTACCGCGGAGGTTACAGTTTTCACCCACCTGAATGAATGGGAACGGATGGACATGTATTTGGTGACTGGTACGTGCATGTGCACATAACTGTCATCCTCCATGAAAATGCAATTTACGGTGTCATAAAAATTTACATCGGTTTTCTAATTCGATGGCCTTCCGGCAATTTTTCAGGGGAGGAAGTTGGCTAATGATGATGAATAATTGTGGGACCAGCTTCACCAAATGATTACTATCATTAGTCGAATTTATTAACTTGAATGATGAATATGCACTTATGGGCGGTTACAACACAAACATTACATTGAATGTGCATTACAATCGGTAAAAAACTTCCTTGGAGCCACTAATTATATCGTCTATTTTTTTCTGAGTGAGTAAAACGAGCGTTCTGCTCATTAACGCAGAGGAAGTACATAAAATAATTAGTGCAAAGCACATAAACAAACACGTGAATAGCGTTCACTTGTATGATTACAATGATTCATGAAATGATGCTTACCACTTGATTCTTGTGAGCATCATTGTGAAAATTCAAGACATAACATACCGATGTCATCGTAAAAATCAAAAATATATTCAAAACAATATTCAAAGCGTGAAAATTTGGAGCAGCCCTATTAAAAGTTCCGCCATCTTCGACTGGACAACTTTGAAGCACGTTGAACTGCATCAAACCTCACTTTGGTATGATCGAATGTTATCCTATCTCACCCTGAACGTGCAACTAGTGTGTACATTACATACCCCAAACACAAGGAGGAGCACTTAACCATACTCCGTATATCATCTTTAAGTTCCATGGTTTCAGGTTGGAATTTTCGTGATAGACTACTCTTTCGTTTCCTCATCAAAGGGAGACATCTCAAGATCTACAGTTGCCGTTGGGATGGCTATAGCCACCTCTTTATGACTAGCAAAAGATAGATATACATTCCACGCTAAGGCAACCACATTAGCAAAAGCCACCTGCAAAATTCAAACCACCAGTTATCCATTTTAAGGTCTCGGAAGTCAACAAGTAACATTGCTTCTTAGACAGACTACTGTGTTGATTGCTGAGATAGATATCTAGCGCGACATTACAGCACATGAACACAGATCATGAAATTCACCTGAAGATTTTGAGGTACAAGAAGGAAGTTGACGAACTGGAAGGGTATCCAAAGCTTCCAATTAGCAACAACAGTAGGTTTCCACTCCTGCGTAAACAGAACCATATATTTGACACCATGAAAACAATGTAAAGACTCACAGCCTCTTTAAAAACAGGATGCTAGTGTGCATGATGAATGAAGACGATCAGGAGAGACCAAAAGAACTCTCCCAGCTGACTCACATGGCAACTCAATACTAGAGTTTCTTTCAAATGTTCCTGCAAGTAATCTCATAACTTTTAAAAAGTGGGAAGACAAACCTGCTTAAGCTTCGGGATGACGTCCTTCGGGCGCCCCTCAAGTGTCAACAATGCAGCGAAAAATGCAGCCACAAAAGCAGGCGAAAACAAAAACTGCAGCAAAAAGAAAAAGAAAAAGAAAACTTTAGAACTCCTTGTCATACATCTGCACTAACATGCCTAACATTCTTTATACTTGCCAGATTCTTATTGATATTTGATCTGTGAAGCACTAAATCAATCTAGCTGAAACAATAGTTCTGGGTAGATATCTTCGAAGAAGGGCTAGAAGTACATATGGCCTCAACCAAAGGACTACAAAAAATAACTCCAAAATACAAACCAAATTTCATTAATCTATGTTGCAGGCCGTGCTGATGCTGCACATCCAAAAAAGCCACTATCTGCACGAGCAGGCATAGGCAGGGGACTCTACCTGATCAAGCAGAAGTCGAACACCAGCACCTGTTAATCCCGTCGCTGTCACCACCTTGCTCAAAGCCAAATACCTGGCATCACATTGACAGGCAATATGTGAGAAATGCCAAAAACTGCAAAATGTCCCTCCAAATCCATAATCCTTAATCCAAGCAATCGGCGTGCATATCACTACTACTATGCATTTCAGACTACTGTATGTAATGAAGAGTTGATTACAAATAATCTTTCCAAAAGCAACACGACGATAGAATATAGATGATATCTTACCAGGTGTGCAATGTAGGACCCACGAGAATAAAACCAAGAAAAGTGATCACTGCTGTTCGCTTGACATCGACTTTGTCGGACTTGTCGATCACTAACTGCCAATCGACAATGGTCAACTATGAGAATACAATTCAAATGCTATGTCCAGCTGCTAGATCAAAAGGAATTCGCAGCGTGGTATAAATTACAGTCAGCCATCTGAATTACCCCTCCAAAGAAAAAGTAGAAAAATGGCCCTCCCATCAACATTCCAGCTCTAAACTGTGCTAAGGCTCATGTCAGAAGATGGAAACATCTGATGCATCCAGACAGATTTGACAACTCCAAAATAATCTTCTCAAGTACAAAATGTAAATTTACACAACGTCAGGTATATGTAGCCAAACTAGATGAAGGCTAAAGACACGTCTAGATGATGGAAGCTAGGCGCAGACAGGTTTTGTACCCGCAAAGGGCAGGAGATGATTTTCCCCCAAAATAGTGAGGATCTTCTGCAGAAACTGAAAACAACTGGCTCAAGTAATAAGCACAAAAGATTGTCCACAATCCCCTAGTGGACATTACGTATCTTTGTAGTTATCCTGAATTCTCGTATTTTAGTAGAATGCGGAGAAAAGACAGTGTCAAGTACCTGACAAAAGATATCTCCTAAAAGATTGAGGATAGCAGCTGTAATGGCCTTAGTAGTGACTGGGTTTTTTTGCGTTCGATCCATGTACCTAAACCACCATCAGCAGAAAATACAAAAAGCGAAAATTAGCACAAAAAACTTCTCCTGGTAATATCAAAAACCCCAATTCAACACTCAATTCAAAACAAAGGAAACACAACTTTGTATAGACAAGCACCACTTACAAATGCCATGACACGAAAGAAGCCAACCATAAACCCTAAACATCTACAAAAATAAACAATTCTGAAATTCAGCCACAAGACCTCAATGTCAACTTCACATTTGTCAAGTGTGCGCAATCAACCTCATCCCCTGCAAATCACCAATCACCCAGCCAGCCTCGTAGGCAGCACCATCTTAAGACCACCAGGAAGAGTAAGACAGATACCACGCCAAGATGCCAGAAGAAGATTCAGGAGCGCGCCCACCGGCATCATCCCCACCAGAGCTCCCATCACGACCACCGCCACCATAGTCACCGCCATTGCCGCCATTGTCTCCACCGCCACCACCACGTCCAAACCTTTCCCCGTTACCTTCACCACCACCTCCATCCGCACTCACAGCTCGGACTCGCAAAGCCTCCTCCCTCCTTCTCTCACTGGCACACCGCACAGCAGGTCGACTCCCCCACGCTACTCCTCCATACCCGCACCTCACACTCGCGCCCGTTCTCAAGCCCTTCTCGGCACTCAAATGTCCTGCCAGTGCCCACTGCACCTGCCCTACTCCGGCTACAACGGCCTCCATGGCGGCACCAGCTTCACACTCGCCCTCAGATCCTCAAAAGACCATCAACAAAGGCGCTGCGGCGTCAGCGAGTTGGGCCCGTTTCGGAACGGAATTGGGCAACGCGAGTGGGGGAGAGAAATATCTTGGGGGTGATCGTTGGGCACTGGGAGATACTGTCGTCTGTGAGTAGTCGAGGGTGCGATGGCGATGCACTTGATATTGAGAATTTGTCGCCATGGAAGACGATAACCACAACGATGAACACCACGACAACGCCGCTCTGAAGCAGCACCAGAGCAGATGATGTAGAATGATTCCCGAATAGGAGGAGGTGCGGAGTCGATGAATGAATTTTATGCGCGGATGAACGACATCTGCTGCTGGGATGGATGGAGTGATTCGTTCGTAGGGGATGGTATTCGTTGGCTGCAGTTGTGAGGTTTTTAAGTGGTTGGGTTGGGAGGTCTAAGGGGGAAAAGAAATGGTGGTTTGTGGTATTATGTTAGAGAATTATGCTTTTTTACAAGGAAATGTTAAAATGACCCACCCATATATTAAATCAATCTACCCTATCATAACCATCATTAGAAAATTGGATCATCTCCAGAAACCATTATTACAATCATGGTCCTCATCCCTACCTCCCTTATTCCCAATCCATGCTTTTTCTATTCTTATTTTTTAAAAAAAATTCTGATCCCCTTGTTCCTAGCTCTTACTCCAACCCACCCTTGTTTTCTACAATAGGGTGGGATTTAGTAAATAGGTGGGTCATTTTAATATATATATATATATATATATATATACATACATTCAAATACATACATAGATTTACAAATGATAGTGAAATAAACCATTGGCTTGTATATGTTGGATTTTCTAATTTATAAATTATAATATAGATAAATTTAAACTTTTATAGTGAAACAAATGCAAATGAGAATATGAAAAATTAATATAAATTATGAAATATATATATATATATATATATATATATATATATGTGTGTGTGTGTGTGTATTCTAAGTTTTTAAACAATAAAAGTTAGAACAATATTATTACATGCAATCTTTATATTATTTTTAACAAAGAAAAAGTTATGAACTAAAGATTAACAAAGTCAAATAAATAGTCGTTAAAATTAGAAAATTTACTTGGTGCACAGAAATCCTAAAATTTGGAATGACACAAATTTTGTATACTTAGCAAATGTGTTGTGGCAATAGCCATTCTCTTATTTATTTGCCTTTTGAATGACATTATCCATATGTGTCCTTTCTATCTGCACCAAGTTGGATTTTAAACACATCCTCACCTCCTTCTCTCCTTCACTTCTTCTTGTCCTTGCTGCAAAATGCTTCTAATTGTGTATTCTTTCTTTGCTTCAAATTGCTCAAATATGTGCTTACATATACACTTTGATATTGTTGTGCTGCATGTAAGCAATATGAAAGTGGGAGAGCCATTCATGGTAGATAGTCCTTTGTTTTTTTTTTGTTTTTTTGTTTTTTTTATTCCAAGATTGTTCCTATAGCACATATTGTATTTCAAATATATTGTGTTTCAAATATACTGCTCAAAATCCAGAAAATATGCTTGATAAACACAATCAAATTATATAAGTTCATACTTGTTATATCCTATGCAAGTTTGTCAATAATCAAGCATATTTGATTAGTTGCAATGGCATCCAAATCTTTCACTTAATCTATTTAGCAATTCATATATGGATTAATAAAGTAAATATTGTAGGAAATATTTTTTGCATCTTCAAAATGATAACTATGCAATTAGTGAGATTCTCATCTTAAGTATAGCTAGATCTTAGGAGTTAGAGATATCTTGTACTAACTAAAAGCATAATATTTTAATACATCTATACAAGCTTATGCAACGTAATGTTATATTGATGCATATATGTAGTGTTGTGGTTGCAATAGCAAGTGATGTTTCTTTTAATACATGTAATTTTTTTAATACAAGATACTATCTAAAGCAAAGAATAAATTGATATTATCGATTGGATAGATTAAAAAGTGAATGCATATATTTGATAGTAGCATTTTGAAAGTCAAAGTAATTTATAGATTACAATGATAACAAGTGTATAGTGATACTTTGGATCAACAATAATGTTGCTTGAGTATCTCAATCAATATATATATTAAGGCTTGATGTAGAAGTTTACAACCTTAGGCTTAAATAAGTTGTTGAATATACAAACAATCAAATTTGGAGTTTTAAGTTTTTTTTGCATGTATTAATTTAAGTTATAATTGTGTCATTAGTATATTGAGTGATTAAAGAAACATAAAGGATTAAACAAATATGCTAACAATCTTAATAAGAAGAGATTACAATTTTAACATAGTATTTTAGTATATATTTAGTGATATTTCATATTTATGATTAATTTCAATAATTGATAATATAAGATAATTATTGCAAGATAGATGGAGCTATAAGAAAATATTCTACTTTAATGATTATGAAAGATATAAATTAATCTTACGTATATAAAAAAATATATATAAAAAATTAGTTTAAATAGTATTTATATTACTTTTATATGAAGGTTTTGTGGTAATCAAATGATATTTTAAAAATCTATGATTACTTGAATAAACAAATGAGTATATTAAAGAATCAAATGCTAGTTGTTTTTTACGAAATGAACATCAATCATAAAACTTTTGTAGAGATAATGATACAATTGAAATAAACCTTTATATATTATTTTATATATACATGTAAATATTTTTTATATTTAAAATAATTAGAGATAGTAAAAATTATTAAAAAAATTCCAAATGTAATTAGAGATTTGTTTTTTTTTATGTGAAGTATACTAGAAATAATTTTATTATATTGAATTTTCTCTTAAATCATTAAAATTTATTAAAATATTAAAAAGTATGAAATAAGATTGTATTCATGTAATTAAAGGCAAATTACATACATCATTTAAGTGTTTATTATAACTTATCTTGTACAATTTTTTAGAAAGTATGTTTAAGAAATATGGAGGTTTTTATTTGCTTGTTGTACATTGGAATTTGCAATTGTTATGAATTTTTATAAGAAATTTATAGAGGGTATTAGAGTTGTATTCGAAAGAAGAATAGTTAATATAAAAGATGTGCCTAGTCAAGATTACAATCAAGAAATTGAGGTATTATTATAGGCTAAAGTATTTTTAAACAAAAATCAATGTATAAGTATTTGTAAACCACTTGGTCATGTTATCAAAGTATTTGAAGCCTTAAGAGCTTATAGCAATAAGAGAACTAATTAAAAACTTCTATTTTATGAATTCAAATAGAGAGCATTAAGAATATACATGTTGATAAAAGATTTTATACAACAACATTGGTGTAAAGCAAATATCTTTCAACTAAAAAACGAAGAATTTTTTAGAGAGTTATTGTGTAATTTAAAGACTTATTATAATATAAAAAATGATTTACTTTCAAAAAGAATGTCCAAAAATGTTTGAAGATATTATACTAGTATTCTCTGATATTTTTATCTACAAAAAATTAAACACAATAATAAAGAATTTTACATAAGATTAGACTATGTAAATAAAGATGTACAATTTAAAGATTATAGATTGGAAGATTATCTATTAATAAGATTAAAGGGCTTGTTGCATGTAAAAAGTAAAGAATTGAATTCTTTGGAAGTATCAAGAGATATAAAAAATTTAAAACTTATCAAAGCCATAAGTAGTAGTGCTTTTGGAATAATTTATAAATCAAAGTGGTTTAGATTTTGAGGTGAAAAAAAAGATATGGATGTTAATTTTAATGCAATTCTTATGGAAGAAGTAGATATCTTAAATAATTCAAGCCATCTAAACTTCATCAAATATTACTAAGTTCCAAAAAATAATACAATTGAGAATAGTAAATTCTTACTACTGAATAATTCAAGTAAAAAATTATATTTTGTAATAGATTTGATACAAAGAAGTTTTAGCAACATATTAGATGCAAAAAGATGAATGCCATATTACTTTCTTATTGATGTTATGTATCAAATTATAATAAATATTTATTATTTTTATGATATGTAAATTACACATTGTCATGGATACAGAAATACAGACTCGAGATCTAACAAGAAGTTCAAGAAGAACTGGCAAGAACTAGATTGATCAGATGAGAACAACACCAGAGAGGTGAACTAGAGCTCCAAGAGATGTGTTGTCGAGACTGAAGAACTCTTCAGCCTTGATTCCAATATATACTTCTATTTAGGAAGCTTCTCAAACAACTTCTACCAACTAGGAAGCTTCTAGAAGGTTCCAGAGACTTGCTTGTAGAAGGTCCTAGAAACTTATCTCTAGAAGGTTCTAAGGACTATGTCCCTAATATCTTCTACCAACTAAAAAACTTCTAGAAGGTTCCAGAGACTTGCTTCTAGAAGGTTCTAGAAACTTGTCTCTAAAAGGTTCTAAGGATTATGTCCCTAATACACATTAAGATCTATAGCTAAAAAAATGTCCTATTTAATATTATTAATGTTAGTAAATCTAACAATAATATTTAAGATATTATTGATTTGTGAAATATCATTGTAAGAAGGAATCCAAAAGTTAAAAAAAAAATCACATAGATAGAATTTTAAGATATATAGCTTCAAGAATATTAAAAAACATAATAGAATCAATAAAGATGTATTTTTGAAGCAGATGTATATTCTTTTGCAATAACATTATCTAAAATTCTTTCAAGAAATGATCTATTTGATGGTGTAATCAATAAAAAATAATTAATAAAAAAAATTGAAGAATATGAAAGACCAAAGTTTCCTTCAAATTATAATAATCTTAGTAGCTTGATCAAATAATACTAGATTTTAGATCCTTCACAAAGTGGAATAGAAAAGATTACATTAGCAAAGACTATATTTAATGTTGTAAGATATATGTATCATTTATCATGCATTATGTTTTGTTGAAAGTATTCAAAATAAAGATGATGGTTTTTTAATAAATTTTCAATCAAAACCAAAGAATTTGGAAGAAACTCAAAATATAATAAAAAGATTATTGATAGGTAAAAAAATTATGTTAGTTTTTGATAATGTAAAAAATAAGAAACATATTAATGATATAATGAATTTTAATTCTATGGATGTTTTACATCCTAAAAAAGATAGTATATTAATTATAACAATATAAAATTAGAAGGTAATAAAATATTATCTAACAAATATTTATAAATTCGATGTTGAAGAACTTGAAAAAGATGCAAGTATGAAGTTTTTTTATAGCTAATTCTTCCTAGGATAATGACAAATCGCCTAAAGAATTTATTGAAGCTAAGAAAAAAATTATAAGATCTTGTAATAAACTACCTTTGAATTTAAAAGTTTTTGGCTTATTTTTAGGAGAATAAAAGAGATTGGGATGTTAGAAAATAACTTTACAAAAGTTAAAAGGATAAAGAGATTTGGATGGAGATGATAAAAATAGTAATCATAAGCTATGGATTATTTTGAAGATAAGGTTTGATGCCTTGAAAGTTTAAAAAAAAATGTTTTTGAACATATGCTGATTTTTTTGCAATAATTTAATTGAAGTAATTTAATTTAATTCGTAATTATTGAAGTGGTACAAAAAAAGAAAGTATATTACAAATATAAATCAATAAAAAGAATAAATTAGTAAAACAAGATGAAAGTATTATTTTAGATATGTTAATTCATCAATCAATAAAAAATAATAAAAATAGAATGATAAAAATATATGTTTAAGTATAAGATAAGATCCAAAGAATTATTGAAAAAAAAAAGAATATAAAGGCATAAAAATTTGGAATGAATTTTTTAAGAAGAATTTTATATTTTTTTTGCATACTGCAATATAAAATATTTTGAGATTTGTATATATTTAAATTTTTTCTAATACAATAGATTATAATTTCTAACTATATTTTTGTTATGTTATTAAATAATTAAAAGGTATTATACTTGGTAATAAAATAGGAAAAATTTAAATTAATCCTACTAGTAGTTAAATCAATCCACCTATCAAAACCATCATTATAACATCTCATTTGATATTCTTATTCTTAATTCATATCTCCTCGTCTTGTCCCAAACCTCTCATTTCTTATTTCTATTCTTGTTTCCAACCTATTTTCCAACTTTCTCATTCCTTCTTACTTAATTCCCATTCCAAGCTCTTGTTCCAACTCTCTCTTCCCTTCTCCATACTTAGTTCATGTTCTCACTATCCATCTCCTATCTCAACTCTATATTTCTTGTTTCTATTTCCAATCCTTATCCCTTACCTCAACCATCTTCTAATCTATTCCATCACTTCTTTCCTTCGCCTTTGTCATTTTTTATATTGAGGACTATTGTTCTCTAATTTATTTGTCATTAATGCTTGACGCCCTTCTCTTCAATGCAATTTATATTTTGACTTTTATCTCCAATGTGCTTTTCTTTAGGCTTTCTTTGTATCTTGTGATACTATCATGTTTTTTTAGGATTTTTTTATTTTAATATAATATATTTCTTTTAGATGTATGCCTTCCTACAAAAATCAAAATATTTCATATATATATATATATATATATATAAATTTAAAATATTTTAATTTAAAATATTTATATAAATAATAATACATATATTTGAAAAATCAAGAATCTACATATTAGTCTTTATTTATATACAAAATTGATTTTATTATAGAAAAGAATAAAATAAAATAAAAATAAAATTTATAATAATAGAAGTTAAATTAGCTAAAAATAACCATCTCTAATTAAGGTTGGTCAAGCTTGATAATCTTTCCAAAAAAATTGGCATATCTTTTTTTTATAATAATACTTTATTTAAGTGGTTGTGCAACCTTCATAATTTTTTTATAATAATACTTTATTATAATGGTTACTCTAGCTTGGAAAGCTTTCCAAATGCATTAACAAATCTTTATTTTTGGACAATACTTAATTTGAAAGATTTTTCAAGCTTGAAAAATTTTCCAGATAAATTGTTCAATCTTAATTTATTAACAGCACTTTATTTAAGTGGTTGCTCAAGCTTGACAAGCTTACCAAATAAATTGCCAAATATTTCTTCTTTGACAATATTTGATTTGAATGGTTAATCAAGCTTTAAAAACTTACTAAATAAATTAACAAATCTTACTTTGTTGACAAAATTCTATTTGAGCCATTATTCAAACTTTATATGTTTCTCAAATGAATTAGAAAATCTTTCTTCTTTGATAATATTTGATTTAAGAGATTTTTTAAGCTTGACAAACTTATTAAATAAAATTTTAAATCTTTGGTTTTTTACAACACTTTATTTGAGTACTTGCTTAAGCTTGACAATCTTATCTTATGAGTTGGCAAATCTTTTTTGCTTAAAAATACTTTATTTGAGTCATTGCTTAGGCCTTAGAAGCCTATCAAATGAATTGGTAAATATTTTTTTATTCACAAAATATTATTTAATAGATTTCTAAAGTTTGAAAAGCTTAACAAGCTAGCTAAATATATTGGTAATTTTTTCTTCTTTTACAATACCTAATTTGAAAGATTGCTAGGACTTGATAAGCTTGCCAAGTACATTGAAAAATCTTTCTTCTTTGACAATACTTAATTTAAATAGTTACTTAGGCTTGAGAAGCTTCTTAAATAAATTAATAAATCTTTCTTTGTTGACAAAATTTTATCTGAGTTAATACTCAAACTTTACATGTTTCTCAAATAAATTGGCAAATATTTCTTCTTTGAAAAAATTTATTTAAGAAATTCTTCAAGCTTAATATGCTATCTAAATGAATTGGAAAATTTTTGTTCTTTGAAAATACTTGACTTGAAAGGTTATTCAAGCTTGCTAAGCTTACCAAATAAATTGAAATTCTTCTTTTTTTAGTAATATTTTATTTGAGTAGTTGCTCAAGCTTAATAGGCTTGTCAAATAAATTACTAAAACTTTCTTTTATTATTATACTTAATTTTAAAAATTACTTAATTTTAAAAATTACTTAATTTTATCAAGCTTTCAAAATAAATAAGCAAATATTTCTTCTTTGACAACATTTAACTTGAGTAATTCGTTAAAACTTAATAAGCTTGCCAAATGAATTGGCAAATTGTTCTTTTTTGACAACACTTAATTTGAGTGGTTCCTAAAGCTTGACAAACTTATCAAACAACTTAGAAAGTATTTCATCTTTGAAAACACTTAATTTGAGTGGTTTCTCATACTTGACAAGTTTGCAAAATGAATTGAAAAATATTTGTTTGTTGATATCTTAGATTATTGCAATTTTTAAGTATTTTAAGAAAATCTTTTAATTCTTAAAATCATAATATTAATAATAATAATTTTTATTACTTTAGTATGATATTTTAAGTAGGAAACCACTAATAGGTGGACACCTCTATTTTACTGCGTGTACATTCCTTCTATGCTATATCTCTACAAAAAATAACTAGTTTTGATTTTTAATTGGATTTTTTAAAGTTTTAATTTGACATTGATGAATGTTAACAGTGATAAAATTTTAAGACTTGAAAGACCAAACTGTTAGATGAGGTTCACGAAAGACAAAAAAAAAAAACACTCTACATAATATGCATCTCTGTCAAAACTAGAAAGCAATCTCTCAGAAAACTAGAAATCAATTGCTACTTGGTCCAAAGCTAACGCTCTAGAAGGCAGAGTTTTGAAACAAGTTACTGATCACGAAGCTGCCAAAATCGCCCTACAATATTGTGATGCATGTGCACGTCAGTCTAATCACTGTTATCACAAAACAGTGTCAGTGTAGAAATATTCAGTCATCGTTCCGAGACTCACAATTTCTAAACAGATGAAAGAAGATTACTTACCTCTGACAATTGTGCTATGAACAGCATCCACACAATGACAACATTTGTGCGGGTTCTCTGTAACTACACTGTTCAGTGTTTGAGCACCTCTGCAGAATCGAATGATGAATGAAGGCAAAAAGAATCTGGAACTGTGTCAAATATCACGATTGGAGTACAAAGTATTCTCCAGGGTAAAAAATGCCCTTTAAAATGGACATCACTAGCTCTACTTGGTAATGGTACAATGTTGAAAGAAAGATTGTTACACTAGTACAAGAGAGGAGGAGATAAGATTATCAACCACGAGGATATGTGATCCAACCGGATACAGGAATCAGCACAGTGCAGCAGATCAGACAACTGTAACTAAAATCCTCTTTGCAACATTGGCAACCATATCCTTCATTTCATGCTTCAAGGAAGCTAGGAAAGTTTCCTTAACGCTTAAACCCTCTCCTCCCCATTGAAAAAGGTGAAAGAGTGAAGCAATCTACCACCCTCAGTCCGTTACGTCGTGTTGACCGTTAAATATTTCAACCTTTTTTCTCGTATTATAATACAGTTTCTCAAATCAATAACTGCACAGGGAAGCGTAGTGGTAGGGAAGCACTGAAATACTGTCGCAAGATGGAGAGCTAGGGGCTGATCTGCAAGCCCGAGATGTCTTCACCAGGATGATGAAATGAGATCTCTATTTGCAACAGACCTTCAGGTATATTCAAAGGTCTAGGAATGAAAATAAAGTTAGTTGAGCGCTTATCCGCTCGCAGAATACTTCGAGGCACGCTCTCCATCGTCAACCTGGTCTGACCATATTTCACTGCCAAGTGATACGAAAAGAACTCCTCTCTTTGTGGAGCTCCAAATAAGGTAACAAATACTAAGTTACCCAAATCTTCCTTTTCATAGTGGAGAAGAAACACCATGTTGTCTGCTTTTAAGAGCAAATGAAGGTCTGTCGGGTTTAGAACGGCTGTGAACCAAACATCGTATTGGAAGTTCAGGGTCCTTATCTGATGGGACTCGGAGAAGTGATCCGGAAAGGATGTGGCAGCTCCTGAGAAAGGACAATCCGAGACAGGGCAGTCGAAAGGAGTGCAAGGGCAGAACAACTCGTGGCCTTTCCTCTTTGTGAACTTCAGCATCTTCCGGCAACCAAACTCTGCATTCCTGCAACTCATGTGAAGGGAATCTATAAGCTTCTCTATGGCTAAGCATCTGATTCTCCCAGTTGGTTTGGAGCACGATGCGCAAATGTTGCCGAGTTTCTGGCAGCAGCTCGAACAGGCAATGTGGCCATTTGAGCACTGTCATGACGTTCACAGTATTCTACATCATTAAAATTTCTGCTATTGAACGAAATTCGTAGCAAGAACGACTGGCAATAGACTAATTTTCCACATGGCGATTGAATATACCTGAAAGATTGGGGTATGGAGAGCCTCCATACAGATCTGACAATCTAGAGTGTCAGGGTCGAACGTGGCTGCCAATTGGTGGTCTTCCTCTTGCAGTAGTAAAGGCAATGGTGGCGACGTTGGAAGCTCCAGCAGAGGTTCACTGCGGGATCTTTTGGATGGTCTCTGAAGCGGGGACTCGGTTCCAAGTGCCTGCATTGCGAATCGCACCATTCTCTTCTTCTCTCCACTCTTAATCCTAAAACATACAGTAAACTAAACGTAGAGCCTCTTCGGCGCCAATATCCCTGGCGTACAAGACCATCCGCATCTCAAAACATTACTCCTTTCTCACAAATTCCATCCAAGGTTCCTCCGTAGTCAGAGCCAACCAACAAAACCTGGTGAGAAAACCATCCTGGCATCTAAAATCTCTGCATGCCCTGCTTCCCTTTGCTAAACCGAAATTCAGCAGACCATCAATCACACTTAAACTTCCTGGCTGCCATGTCCAAAGCATCAACCGCCAACTCATTAAACAAACACCCAAATTCTCATAAACCTCCAAAAACCAAATACCGAAATCATCACCGAATCCTACAGAAAAGCTACCTTAATTTTCTCTGAAAACTACCAAATTACAAGGTAAATAGTGGGGTCGTGAAAGCGGGGCGTTGTTGCTAGATTCATGACGGAACTGTGCTGATTGTGAGCGATGATTATCACGCGGGAACATGGCCCTGGATCGATTCATGAGAACTGGAAGAGTCGGGGAGACGGTTACACACGAAACGGCACATTGGTTGAGTTGGTGGCTGGATTGTCCGTCCAACGCTTCTCGTTTCCTCCACGTCCATCATCGTTCGTCATCTGTCCACTCTTCGTTCCTTACTCGTATTTTCGTCCGTCCAGTTCTGTCTTTAACATCCTTATCATGTTAAAAGTTCCTTTCATTCTTTCTTTTCTTTACGATCTTTATCGTTCTTTCTGGCTTTAATTCTTCTTCGAGACAGCGAATTCTTCCTTTTTCTTTCTGTTATTTTCTTTTCATCCATTTCTTCTTTCATTCCATCTTCGTCGAACTTCCTTCTCTTTAATTCCTATTTTTTTTCTTGCTACTTCCTTACTTTCGTTTCTTTCCTTATTTCTGTCTTTTTCCATTTCTACTTTCTTTCTTTTCTTCGAGACTTATTTTTTTAATTATTTATTCGATTACAAAAAAACTACATTGTGATGATATATAAATATATATATAAATATATATATGTATGGAATAAATAAGGATACTGGACTCCAATCTAGTTGGCACATGGTCAACCATGCCAAAAGTTTGGTAAACATCTCATTTTTAAAGTGACAACAAGCCAAAATTAGCATTGTGAATATTTTACATGTTCATGTTGAATGATATAAAAAGTGAGTATGCTAATATTTAAATAAGGTACCTGATAAGAAAGGTTCTATCAAAGTGATTACAGAATGATTACAATATATATATATATATATATATATATATATAAATGAACACATACAGATAGATAGATGGATAGATAGATAGATAGATAGATTTAGCAGAAGGAGGATCGCGGACCACAAACATTAAAATTATTGAACATATACTAGTCTTCATACATTCAAATTCAAAATTCAAATGCTTTGTAACCAAAATTTCTAATTCAGTCATGGGAACCAATCTTAAGCTAATATCACTCTTAAGTGAGAAGCACACGTGAATACTCGCGGTGATCGAGTAGAAAGAACCTGATCACATATCGTTCCCCTGGAAGAGAGCGGAGGCGATTGTAGTGACTACATTCAACGCAATTCCAGGATCAAAATTATGACGCCGTGATACGCAATTGAGCCAAGAGTGGCTTCTGATTAGAAGTCGTGGAGATTACACATTCGAATAGGATGTGTGTATAAGGTCGCGCTACTACTTCTGTATCCTACTGTAATGTACACACCCCTGGAAGATTCCTACAGCTGGGTTGCTTCTTCATCGTCCCGAAAACTTTCTATCAGGGGTATTCGAATAGTACGGGTTATTATGAAGAATAGGAATAAGAAATTCCTCCCATTGAATCATTAGTCTCGTAGTCCAAGGCTACGAAGTAGATCATGTCGCTAACTGCAAGAGATAGCCTAGTTTTATCCTTCAGAACAGACTGCTGGAGTGTCATTGCAGTCTTGATCGCTTGGTCAGTAATTGACATGCGAGGAATCAATCGCATTGCGGTCGGCTTGCTTACTGCGCCCACAACTTCCGAGAACCTCCTGTGAACATTGTGTGCTTGAGAGTAAGAGAACCCTGAAGCTGTGCAATGTACAGGTCCAGCTGAAGCTTGGCTAGTTCCTGAGTGTACGTTGCGGATTCACATCGATCTTGTCAGTTCAAGTTTCACGAGTGGCCGAGCAGCTTGTCGCCTCTGCCAGATGGATACACCGTCCTCTCTAGATGATTTCGAGACAAGATTCACAGGCGCGACCGGCATAGAAGTACACTTCAAGAGCTTAGCAGGGGGGTTTTGGCTAAGCGAGTCCTCGAACCTGTGCGAATGCAACCGCGCGAGAAGATTTGTGTGTAGCACTCTTGCTTTCACCCCGAACTCGTCATTAGCAGCAACCACCATATACAGCGATCCTTTTTCATTGTCATCGAAATTCTTCTCGTAATTTTCAACGTCATAGTTTGTCAAGCGGTCTCGCGGTGTTGCCGGATGCACATGGCGCTTGGCCTCGGCTCTCAACCTCCTGATAGCCTGCTTCCATGCCGGAGGTTTCACATAATCATCATCTTCGTCTATTACCCACCGACCACCCGATTGCACCCTGTCCACTTCAGTTGCCGCTTTGTGATTCAGCTCCGCTACTCGCATTTCCAGCTCCCATGACGAATCCTCCTCATTCTTCTCTCCAAACTTCATGGCTGCAAAGTTGAAATTTCCCAGGAAGGATGTGGAGAGTGACCTGGACCTGGATCTCGGAGGACGGCGTGTTGTGGTGTGCACAGGATCCATAGTGTCTGAATCCATGAGGATTGGCTGCTGGGAGCCATGATCAGAGCCCTTGGTTTTGTGAGGCCCAAAACACCCTCCAAAGTACTCTCCAGGATTAAACCGAATCGAAGTCTGCCTCTTGATGGGTGGGAGCATGTCCCGCGCGAAATTTGACAAACGTGTGGACACAGAATGGTCGAGTTGAACCGTCTCGTCAGGAGGTGTATCTACACGATTTGTGTAAATCCATCCTAACGTGTCCACCGAGCTATGGCGTGTGTGCCTGCTGGCCATATTTTCTAACGCAAACAAAATCCGACAACCAAAGCACGGACTCCTCACTGCTACAACAACGCAAGCGTAGGAAAAAGAGAATACAACCTTAAATAACTACTTGGAAACCCAAAACTCGTCAATCGCATGACACCCAAACAGAAAACCCATAGCGAAAGATAGATAAGGCTGTAGTTATCAATAGATGCCAAAAGCTCCAACTAACATTCGAGGCAAGACCTTACACGTGAAGCAGACAGTAATAACGCGCTGCTTGTGCCAGGATGAGTGCCCTGCAAATCAACCCACAACAGGCACCGCGTCAACGAAAACAGAGATTCGGACACGACAATTGCCGCACCGTTATGAATGTCACTGGGTGACACAGGCTCCGGTCAGAAGGAACCGACTACACGCGCTACAATCACGAAAGCTCCGTCATGGATCATCATCGCACATAAGCACCATGTTCCTACGCGTTAATGCAGGCCCAGACCGCTTCCCCAATCCAAGCCTAGTTCTCCCAGTCCACTAAAGGAAACAAACGGAATGTAGAGCGGCAGGCAAAATACCTCGCCTCGTATAGCACAAAATCAAACAATCTGCATCGGACATCACGCCACGCCGTGGGGTGCGGCAAGTGTCTGACAGCCACTATATGATTCGCAGAATCGAATAGCATTGCTTGACGCTTCCGTCGGATGAGTCAGATCTTAGGTGGTCTACGACGTCAAGTTTTCAGAGGGATCTTAGCCTGGTACGCCTCGTGGAATGCGCTGGAGACGCAATGGCGACTCCGCCCAAGCCGCGACGTCGCGATTCGTTCGCACGTTACGGACAGTTGTTCCCTACTCGTTGACAGTTGTTCCCTGGCCGTGTTCCCTTTATTAGGGAGGAGCCAATCCCCCCCCCCCCCCGCCAGGCAGGCGAATCTCGGCTTACCAGCTGGTACTTGAATTTCAGTATGGGACGCTGATGGTCTGACGTGGACTGGATTGGTGTTTGAGTTTCATGCATTCGGTATTTGGATGAAAACAATTCATGTGAATGATGTATGGTGCTCACCAACAGTGACTAATGATTAAATTGTTGCCAACCTTTTTATTAGTATTATTATTATTTTTAATTAAAACATAGGGAACTGTAATGTTTTGCTAATATATATAATGCATATTTATATAAATGTAAGCCTTAATTCAAGGTACCAATTTGACCAATTTTGCAAAACATGGATCTAGTTTGCACTTTGATATTTTTACATCATCCATTCGTACATTCATCCATTATCATCCATGCATGTCTACATACATAGATGTTAGGTAGCTACCTTAGATTTTGAAAAAAACTTATTGACATTGACATGCAACCAATTATTAGAAGTTCCTAAAATAATAGAAGGAAAGGTATTAGATTAAAGGTTTGAGATTCATAAATTAAATGCAAAATCATATACATGGTGAAAAGTTTAGGATTTATTAATATGTTTTGATGCAAAAAACTATTTAAATTTTTCATCCATCTAGTACTATGTACTAATTAGAAACTTATTTCATTAAGGCCAAATTTAGGATATATTATAAGTAGATTAGAATATAGAGTAAAGTTCAATTTTAGAAAAGTGTGTGTAGTCAATTTATCTACTTTATCTACTATAATTTATGTCTTTTTTAAACCTTTTAAATACTTTAATATATTTTTTTTTATTTTTTATATATTATATCTTATGTCCTTTTTTTAACAAACTATGCTATTATTCATTACTCTAAGTCAAATATATATTTTTTTCTTTATAATTAGTTCAAATCTCAACTTTTTATATCTAATCATTTTGTTATTTTGTAATTGTTTAGAAGTATGTACCAATAGTTGAAAACTAAAGAACATTTGTATCTTAATCCATTTTAAAATCCTTAGAATTTTAGTTGGACAAAAGATTATAATTTCTTTAGTTTTAGTAAATTTATATTTTTATATTTTTTAGATTATGGCATAATAATTACACTAGGCCACAATTGTTTTTAAAAAATATGATTTTTTTAAGAATAAACTATGAATTTAGTACTTTTATGTATCAAAAGATTTGTTTGTTATTTTTAAATTTCATGTTTTAGAATAAAAAACTATAATATAATTTCTTGTAGTAATATTTATATATTTTTAATCTTTTTTAATTAAATATTTAGTAATTACTAAATATATACTAAATATATTATGTTCTCTAATTAAGAAGAGACATGTATACTAGAGTTAGGATGTGCTATAGGATAAAAGATGTTCATTGACAAAGAAAGCATAAAGTCCATATCTTTTCTTACTTTCAATGTTATTTTTTTCTTTGTAATAATGTGTTAAACACAATTTTTTGTTGTCTCAATTTGTCAACAGTTTGCTTATATAAATCAAAGTCTTTATAATTAGTAGTATATTTTATTCTATTCTATCATTTTTTTAAAAAGATTTGCTTTCATATATAATTAATATTTTTATGATACCTTAATTTTGTTTTTGTTTTTTATAATATGAAGTTGCTATACTAAAATTTTGGTTCTTCTTTCTTATTATGCACCAATTTGTTGATCAAGTGATAGACTAAATATTTATTGTCATGGATATACATATTTATTTTAATATTTACTTATATGATTAAGTATAGATAAATAAAATTAGATGTATTTCATAATATTTTTTAGAGAAGCTTTCTAGAAGCTTCATAGACATTGTTTTGACTTTACATGTAATTGTAGTTGGTTGGTAGGTTAGAAACTTGATCAACAAGTTAATCATGTATTAATAGCTTACAAAACAAGCTAACTATATAGCGCACATATAAAAAACTTGTCTTACAAATTAAGATACGTATCTTGTAAAGTCAACATGTTTTGGAGGTCTTACAAGACATTACCATGTAGCTCTTAGTTAAGAGTATATATGGAGGCAAGAGTGAAGCCTTCTTTACTCTTGTCAATGCCTTCCTAGTCCTTAGTCTTGTTTCAAGACTTTCTAGTCTTCTTATCTTTGGCAATAACCATTTTAATTTATTATTATATCATCTTTAAGTAATTTTTTAGCCTTTTCAAGTGTCACAAGAGTGTATTAAGATTTTAGTTCTTTGAGGTTCATGTCCTTGACAGTTTTGACAAGAGTACTAACTTATTGTTCATGTCTTGTTTTACAAGTGAGTGAATTATCCCACTTCTATTATTGTATTTTGAAGGTTGTAGATTATTCATCTTTAAAAAAATTATTTAGTTTTTTAACACTAATTTTATTTATTAAAGAGAAAAAATTATTCTTCTTTTTAGAAATTTTCATTTGATAATAGAAGTTGCAAATTACTTTTCTCTAATTTGACTTGTGGATTTCTTAAGATGTTTGAAATAGAAGAAAAAATCATAGATGCTATACTTAATATAAGTGAGAATAGATTTGCAATTATTGCAAATCTTTACAAATTTGTCAATATTCATAGAATAGAAATTTCACACATTACTAATGCCAGCTATAGAAATACTAATCCTATGCATATGAAAGAAGTTCAAAATTTGCATCAAGAAATTATGTAATTGAAAGAAGCAAATAGATCGGCTTCACAACCAAATCCAAGAAGTTTTACTTTTATAAGTACAATGATGATATGAATTAGTATGCCTGATAATTTTGAATGAGGAAGATCAAAATTTCAAGGATTTTTGCAACAATTCAAGCTCTATTCTAAGGTTGCAACCCTTTTAATATTATGATGGATTTACTCAAGTTGGATTTATAAGTGCACTTCTATCAAGAAGTGCTCTTCTTTGATTTGCATCTTTAATGAAAAAAGATTCACCACTCATTTATGATTTGAATTCATTCCTAGAAGTGTTTATGGCTACATTCAAAGAAATTGATCAAAAAAAAAAATTAGAAACTAAGCTCTTATTTTTACGGCAAGGATCACGGTCAACCACCATATATGTTGTTGAATTCCAAATTATTGCTTGTAACATGGATTGAAATGACAAAGCTCTTATCAATCAATTTTAATATGGATTGAATAATAATATCAAAGAATTTTGTTATTGATAATGCTAAAGGCAAAATACTTAGAATAATTTATTGCTCAAGCTATTACATGCAACAATCAATTATTTGAAAGGTATTAAAAACAAAGGCTTAGCTAAAAAAGAACAAGTCAAGTAATGATGGCAGTTTTTAAGTTTTCAAAAACTTATTCATCAATGCCAAAATCAATGTAAATTGATACAACATGTTTTAAATATCTCACAAAATTAGAAAAGATTTGACGTTGTCCAGAGGATATACGCTTATATTATAAAAAAGCTAAGAAAATTGCTCAATATTATCCAAAAAAGTGACGCAATTACAAAATAAGAAGCACAATTGCTAAAGAAGATAATATGTCAAAAAACAAGTTTCTTGAGCTTCAATAGGGATTGTGTAGCTGAAATCATGTACAATATCTGATAAAGATCATATTTTCTCCTCAAATCTATTACCTTATTTTTTAATAGATATGTGTTTAGGACCTAAAAATTGCAAAGTCTTTGCATTATTAGATTCAAGAGCCTTAGCTTGTTTTATAGACAAAGACTTTGTCAAAAAACAAGAAATATCTTAAATGAAGAAAACTAATCCCGTACATGTAGAAATCTTAGATGATCATTTATTGTCTTCTAAAAATGCTATCTATGAAACTATCTTTTTAGATGTAGCAATTAAAAATCACAATAGTATAGTAATATTTAATATTATAAATTTTCTTTTTAATTTAATTATTTTAGAATTATTGTGGTTAAAAAAATATAACCTTAAAATAGATTAGATTTCTTATAACCTTAATTTTTTTTAGTAGTTTAATAAAAAATTCTATAAATCAAGTAAAAATACATAAATCTAATATATCCAAATCCTTAGTGGTAGGTACAAGAACGTTCATGTATGCAACAAAAGAAGGATCAACTTTTGTTATATATGCCACATCTATTTTTAATGGTGGAAAAACATCAATTAATATTTTAGCCAATATCAAGTTTTATAAGACATTTTTGAAAAGAAAGAATGCATATATTCTTTTAGAGCATTGTCTTTATGACTACTCTATCAATCTTCAAGAAAGAGCTCAACTACTATTTGGACTACTCTATAGCCTATCACAAAACGAGTTGGCTATACTCAAAGAATACATTGATAAGAATTTGGCTAAGAACTTCATATGCTATTTTAAATCTCCAACTAAGACTCTTATCTTATTAGTGAAGAAAAAAGATGGATCTTTGCAGATGTGCTTGGACTATTGAAGACTCAATAAATTAACCATCAAGACCATGTATCCTCTATTTTTGATTTCAAGATTTCTTGATCAATTTAAACAAGCAAAGATCTATACAAAAATAGATCTATAAAGAACATATAATCTGGTCTGTATTAAAAAAGAAGATGAATGAAAGATTGTATTTTGAACCAGATATGGTCATTTTGAATGTAATATCATGCCTTTTGGACTCACAAATATACTAATCATTTTTCAACATCTAATGAATGATGTCTTTTGTAAGTTTCTTAAAAACTTTGTTGTCTGTTATTTGGATGACATCTTAATCTATTCTAAGAATACAAAAGAGCATAAAATTTGTAATAGTTGTATATTACAAAAATTTTAAAATATAGGATTATATGCCAAGTTAAAAAAGTATGTATTCCATAATATTCAAGTTGACTTCTTA